CGAGTCGAATCAGAATTGAATTTTGTCGGAACCCGTGAGACAATCTACGGACGATAACCAAATTTGGGGGAATGTTGGTGTTGGTGTGGCGTTCGATTCTGCGGGCGCGAGCAGCGGGGATTCGGACCCGATGCTGGTGGCGAGGCTACGGAGCAGCAGTCGGGCTTCGGTTATGATTCTCTGCCGAAAGGTTTGGCTCCGTCGCCCTCGCCCCCCGCCTGCTTATCTGTCTTCTTGCCCGCTTTCGCCTCTCTCTTGGTTTGTCTTTCTCTGTCTGTATGTCTGCATGTCTGTGTTTATATGTGCATATGTATATGGCGCTCTCTCTCTCTCTCTCTCTCTCTCTCTCTCTCTCTCTCTCTCTCTCTCTCTCTCTCTCTCTCTCTCTCTCTCTCTCTCTCTCTCTCTGTCTCTCTCTCTCTCTCTCTCGTCTCTCTCTCTCTCTCTCTCTCTCCTCTCTCTCTCTCTCTCTCTCTCTCTCTCTCTCTCTCTCTCTCTCTCTCAGTTATTGTAATAACAATAACAACAATTTCTATTATTACTACAAAAGCCCTTTCAATCTGGATACAAGGGAGGCCTTGCACCTTCCGCAGTTTAATCACAGAGTTGGCAGGGTTGTTTCACGATCGATAATAGATAGATTATAACTGCCTTGGATTAAGTATTTAATATTTCTTATTCTAAAGCTTAAAGTTTTCCTTGATTCGCAATAATGATACTTATATATCTTTCATTATATTAGCTTATTTGATCATAAGTTTAGTTAGGTCAGATTTGTTTTTTTATACTGAGGCAAGGTTACCGAATTACTCGTTAAGGCCGTTATGTTTGATCATTGATAATAAAAGTTGACTAATAACTGATAAACAGTATTTGCATCTTCTCAAGTTCACTTTCCATCATTACATCTCTCATGTACCATTGATCACATTAAAACCAGAATGATTAAATTATACGGATTTTTTTTTTTTTTTTTTTGGGGGGGGGGAAGGGCGGGAAAATAAGGTAGGTGCGTTGCGCTTCACAGTCGCCCGCCACTGGTCACAGGACTGTTATTTCGGGGAAACCCTGCTCCCCCCCCCCTCAAAAGGCCACACTCCCCACGATTTTCTGCCTAAATTACAGCTTCATCTCTCGTCGTAGCTTTAGAATTGCTCCTAGCATAGCTTACTTTTTTTTCAAAACTTTTCTCGGGGGGAGGGGGGGATCTTCCAGCGCCCAGGAAACTGATTCGGCTCACTCACCCCCCCCCCCAAGAAAGACCTGAAACGACGCCCATGATCGGGGGGGGGGGTCAAGAACTATGTTACCACCGACAATAATAATAAGATAATAATAAAATAATAATAATAATAATAATAATAATAATATAATAATAATACAACAATAACAATAATAATAATAATAATTATTATATTATTATAATTATATGATAATAATAATAATAATAAATAATTATAATTATAATAATAATATGATAAACATGTATCACGTAAACATAGTTGAGAAATATATTTGTTAATGTCATCTCCCGTATACTGAACCGCAAAAAAATAACAATAATGATGATAATGATAATAACAACAACAATAATAATAATAATAATAACGACAATAACAATAATAACGGTAATAATAATAAAAAAAAATAATACAAAAGTTTCATTATTTAATAGTTGCACCTTCCATTTATTTCGTTTTCTACGAAGATATAAAGTATAAGAGAGAGCGTACCTAGGGTAGACATATCTAAATAAATATAATTTTTTCGGTTTATTCAAAGCAATCCTTATGCTCTCACTGGCGTCAAACTTTCAAATCATACATTTTTTTATTGCTCTTCTCTTCTCTCTGTCTCTGTATGTACGTGCAGGGGCACCATTTTGGCTTTTTCATTAGGGGCAATGGGGGGAGGGGTAAATGACACCTAGCCCCACACATGACACCCTGTTTCGCATATATGAGCGCGCCCCGCGAGCGTGTGTTTTGTGTGTGTTTGTGTTTGTGTTGGTGTGTTGTGTGTGTGTGTGTGTGTGTGTGTGTGTGTGTGTGTGTGTGTGGTGTGTGTGTGTGTGTGTGTGTGTGTGTGTGTGTGTGTGTGTGACTAACACAGCACAATGCAAAAATGCATAAATTTATGTGCATACACAACGAAAATGCATTTACACACCTACCCAAAAACCCACACACAGACACACAAGCATGCACACATGCACATTCGCAAACCCACCCTCTCACCTACACACACACAGACATTCATTCACAATCACACACATACACAAGCACATAAACACACACACACACTCTTTCAGCCTACTGATGTGTCGAAATATACAGAGAGTGAGCTTAGTCAAGTGTGGACCACCACATGAAGATTTAATAATCATAATAAGAATGATCATAATACTATTAATAACAACGATAATAATAATGAGAATAGTAAAAATAAAAACAACGGCAGCATTAACAACAGCAATAATAATAACAAAATAAACAACAGTAACATAAGCAATTACAACAACAACAACAACAATAATGATAATGATAATAAATATAAAATAAATAATATTAATAAAAAAAATTATTACAATGACAACAACAATATTAATAATAAAATAATAGTAGTAGTAGTAGTAGTAGTAGTAGTAGTAGTAGTAGTAGTAGTAGTAGTAGTAGTAGTAGTAGTAGTAGTAGTAGTAGTATAGTAGTTAGTAGTAGTAGTAGTAGTAGTAGTAGTAGTAGTAGTAGTAGTAGTAGTAGTAGTAGTAGTAGTAGTAGTAGTAGTAGTAGTAGTAGTAGTAGTAGTAGTAGTAATGATAATAATGATAATAATGATAATAAAAACAATATAATAAAACAATAACAATTATAATTATAAAATCACATTAACAATAAATAACCATAAATAATAATAACAATAATAATAACAGTAAGAGCAACAATAACAGAAATAGCAATGATATTAATGACAGCAACAATAGCAGTAGCAGTAGTAGTAATAGTAGAAGTACTAGTAAAAATAGTAATAGTATTAGTAATAGTAATTGTAGTTGTAATAGACGTAGTAGTAGTAGTAGAATTAGTGGTGGTATTGGTATTAGTATTAGGAGTTGTAGCAGATGATGATAAAGATAAGGAAGATGATGATGATTATGATAATGATGATAATAAGGAAGAAGATAATAACATGATGATGATGATGATGAACTTAATACTGATGTTGGTAATTTCAGTAAAAACATAGTAAATATAATGTTTATAAGAAAAATAACCATGTCAATATTGATAGCATTGGTAAAAAAATATAGTGTTTTCTAGCTTTTTTCAAGGAAAAGTGAGGTCATAATATCTACTAATTGACTCTTTTGTGGATAAACACTGGTAAAGCCATCTATGTGCAGAAACATTTAACTACACATTGCTAAAGGGAACGCAATATTTTCCCGTCAGCATTGGGTTAATACTCAATAAAATCATTAATAAGAATATTAATGATGATATTAGCAATGATAATAATAACAATAAAAGTAATACTAGTAGTAGTAGCAATTAATGAGAAAATCAATGCAATAATTCGTTAAATTTGTCAAAATAAAAGGTCCAGTGAAGTACAAAATAAAGTACGAGCCTAATGGATCAAACATTTATTCTTGTAAACAACTTACAAAGAATTGTTTGTAAAGGTATTAACACTATTTTACAATATCAGTCTCTCACATGAGACAAAAGAATAAAATATAAATAAATAGATATGTAATGGCAAATAAGTTAACAATTATTGATACAGACACAGCCTACTGACTATCCCCTGTGTGTTGTCTCATGTGTCTCACAAGACCATTTTTCCAAAAGAAATCCTTGTGACATAGCTTACACATATAAGGCTTCTCACCTGTATGAACTCTCATGTGGGTTGACAGGCTGTCTTTCTGAGAGAAATTTTTACTACATATCTCACAACTATAAGGCTTTTCATCGGTATGTACTCTCATGTGCCTTACTTGATGACCCTTTTGAGAAAACTTTTTGTTGCAGATATCACAGCTGAATGGTTTCTGCCCTGCGTGTAATCTCATGTGGGTTCCCAGTGTTCCCTTTTGGGTGAACCTTTTGTTGCAGACAGTGCAGCTATAAGGCTTGTCCCCAGTGTGGACTCTCATGTGTATCAGTAGCTTGCATTTCTTTGGGAAAGTTTTGCTGCAAATTGCACATCTCAAAGGAATGTCAGCAGAGTGTCCTTTTACATGCAACAGGAACTGGCTCTCTTCCACAAAGGATGCTCTGCACACATTGCAACTCAAGCTCTTCCCACCCACATGTATTTGTTGGTGGATTTCTAGATCGCACTTTGTGGAGAATGGCATGCCACAAACAACACAAACAAAAGTGGATAGAGGATCTGCATCTGAACCTCCCTTCCCGTTGCACAAGAAGTCATCATTGTCACTCTCCCTACAAGTTCCTCTCACATTGTCCTGGCACTCAACTTCTTCGAAATACTGGTATTCATCTTTAACAACCACATCAAACTCCTGCTTAACACAAATAGTATTTCTGTCCTTCACAGCAAAATGCCTCTCCTCTTTTATTTTCAAACTAGTCTTTTCATTGAGGTCAAAGTCGCGTTCTTCTTTAATGTAGACTTTGGTGAATTCCTGGTTGCAAAGTTGCATGCTGGCACTACCCTCGTACATTGTTGCTATTGAGATCTTCCACTGATCAATGAATTGATGATACTTTACATCTGAAAAAAAAAGTAATCAATGAGAGTTTTGTTTCATTCCTCTTAATATAGCCCCTGATACATAAAATATGATTAAAATATGAAACTTGAATATTTATCTAACTTTATTAGGATTTTCACCCCTTAATGTGCAAAATTCCTAAAACAGTGTAAGATTTATGATTGATAAAACTGAAAAATCATTTTCAATTTTCCTTCATTCATACCTGATGAAGACCCTGTATTTTTTCCTTTTCTTTTTGCCAACCTTATCTCATACTAAAATATTTAAAAATATGCACCAAAACAATCATGAGAGCGAGAGAGATAGCGAGAGAGAGAGAGAGAGAGAGAGAGAGAGAGAGAGAGAGAGAGAGAGAGAGAGAGAGAGAGAGAGAAGAGGAGAGAGAGAGAGAGAGAGAGAGAGAGAAGAGGGGAGAGGGGAGGAGGGAGGTGAGAGAGAGAGAGAGAGAGAGAGAGAGAGAAGAGAGAGAGAAGAGGAGAAGAGTAGAGGAAGGGAGAAGGGAACGCGGAGAGGGAGAGGGGAAGAGGAAGGGAGAGAGGAGGAGGGAGGAGGGGAGGGAGAGGGAGGGAAGGGGGAGGGAGGGAGGGAGGGAGGGAGGGAGGGGAGAGAGAGAGAGAGAGAGAGAGAGAGAGAGAGAGAGAGAGAGAGAGAGGAGAGAGAGAGAGTAGAAGAGAGAGAGGAGAGAGAGAGAGAGAGAGAAATCTGAGAATGGTATCCTAATGCCCACTTCATCATTATTTCTATTAATCTTTTACACAAATCTGAAAAAATAAATGCCAAATAAGACATAAAAAACTATATCAATGCTGGAATGTAATGTAAACTATTTGAAATATTTTTAAATCCTCTATTCTTCTGTGCATTACTATCGTTTGTTGTTCAAGATTATCATACTTATAATTTTCAAAGTTGTTTAGATATCACCTTAATTCAAACATACATTCAAGTAACTTACCATCGTGGTGACCACCTGAGCTCGCCTGGATGACCAACAAAAATTCTGAAAATAAATGAAAAGAAATTAAATTACCTATAGTAATACCATGACATTATGATTAAAAAACAATGATTTCAAGCTGAACCTTTATACTTATAAGTTCTGTGAACCCATGTAATGAGCATGTAGCCTTAAAAGATAAACACATACATTCATAATTCATACATAACACATATATAGATTATATAGGGTGATCATTGGTTATGTATGTATACCATGTAACATGTATGCATGTATGTATGTATGATGAGTAATTATTGTAGTATGTAGTATGTATAGTATGTATGTATGTATGTATGTCGTATGCACGTAGTATGTATAATCTACCTACCCATTAATGCTCCTATAATATATATATATATATGTAGTATGTAAGTATATGTATGATTATCGTAAGTATATGATATGTATATTATAAGTATTGTATATTGATATATTATATGTATATGTAATGTTATGTAATATGTATTGTAATGTATATGTGGCATGGAAGGAGATGTATATGCATATGCATATGCATATGCATATGCATATAGCCATAGGCAATATGCATGCAATGCATATGCATAGTCATAGCTAGCATATGTATATACTACATAATATATATATAATATATATATATATATATATAGATATATAATATATATATATATATATATATATATACATATATATATATATAATATACATATACATATATATATATATATATATATATATATATATATATATTACATTATATGTATACAAGTTTTTTTTTTATATATAAAAAAAAAAAAAAAATATATATATCTTTTTTTTATATTCATATATAAATATAACTAACTAACTAACTAACTAACTAAATATATATATTCATATATTAAGTCAATGCTAATTAAGGCAGCCGCACTACATATACCGAGGAAAGTACAATAGAATTATTGACTAATGTTTGTACATGTCGGGGAAGTTAATAAAATTGTGGGGACCTCACTGGTTGTGCTTTAATTCAAATTCAAAGGAACGGGGTCCGGGGGCCTGCCCCTGGTAGGATAATAGTCTAAGGAAGGGGGTCTGTGGGCTTATCCCCGGTTGGGAAATACCCTAGGGAAGGGGATCCAGGTTAGATTAGGTTAAGAAATTTTGTTGGGATTTCTGCAGCGGCCCCGGACTCTCGTTCGGATTTCTCATTTTTTTCAAAATTTTCACTTTTGATTCCACTATTTCTCCCATGTGTGTGCCCCCCCCCCACTCCCTTAAACCCCCGATTCTCCACAGGTCCCCCTAGATTGAAGGGGGTAAGAGAAAAAAAAAACAAATAGGCGTGGCTGTCTTATGTAGAACTACCCAACTGACATGCAGGTGTGCCCGATGCGAGCCTGTCTGTTCCTCTTGCTTGTCGTGCTTTCCTGGGTGGGGGTTGGAGGGCATGTCAGGGTTGTAGAAGGCACAGCATCCTTGCATTAGACAATATAGTGACAGATTCTGTGTATAATATTCTCATTTTACTCTGCAATTTCCCTGGTACCTTTATTGCCCACCCCCTGGTGTTGGGGCAAAGAATTGGGGTGTTTGGGGGATTTCCGCACAATAATTTCTATATATTAGGATACTAGAGTGAGAGGAATCCAAGTTCGTCGCAATCTGTGATGCAGTACTATTGTATATGACAAGGTAGCCATTCTTTCACCAGCACACCCAAGAAACAAGGTCTACACTGAGGGTCATCAAGCTTGACCCCATGAACAGCACCCAGTGATAAATTCTTGTCCATATGAAGATCTAATAATTTTCATTAATCTGTTACTTAAAACAATACTCCCAAATACATTTCAACATTTATCTGTACCTACAATTTGGATTCACACGAGATTCATTATCATATAAACTTTCTCTTGTTAATCATTTCATCTAATGCAACAAGCTCATCATACTTATATCTACTACATATCTACTACAAACTCAGTATCTGAAAAAAGTGAAAATACAATATCATATATTTATGTTCTCCATCACAAAATTATAAAACCTTTGAAAAGTTCGTACACCTAGGAGCATCATTAATTCTTCTTCCTAACGTATAATCATTTAAAGCATCATCGTCGTCAATCACAATCAAGTTATTGAATGCAATATAACAAATTCGTATTAAATCATTCAGTTATTGACAACTTCGTGGAAGAAATAAAAGAGCCGACCTTTTTGGTTCAATGAACTTCGATGTTGTTGTTGTCGGAGAAGGGAGAGTGAGCGTGAGTGTAAAAGTAAGGGAGCGATGATCATTAATGTAAACATATTAAAATTAACTCTAATTGCCTATTGTAATGATTTGACTTCATCTAAATACTCTAAATGCATTTTTTATTTGGTTATAGTAAATCCAAATATAACTTCTGGTACATAATATACAATATATTTTTTCTACTGTTTATAGTGTACACACACACACATACACACACATACACACACACACACACACACACACACACACACACACACACACACACCACACACACACACACACACACACACAAATATATTATATATATATATATATATATATATATATATATATATATATATATATATAACAAACACACACACATGTACATATATATACACAGATAGATAGATAGATATAGATACATAAATACATACCTACACACACACACACACACACACACACACACACACACACACACACACACACACACACACACACACATATATATATATATATATATATAGAGAGAGAGATGATAGGAGAGAGAGAGAGAGAGAGAGAGAGAGAGAGAGAGAGAGAGAGAGAGAGAGAGAGAGAGAGAGAGAGAGAGAGAGAGAGAGAGAGAGAGAGAGGGGGGGGGGGTAAAGGTAATGATAACACTGATGATAACGATGACAATGACAGTAGTAATGATGATGATGATAAAGACATTTTCTCTCTCCCGTGAAACTGAGAGGAAATTCCCATTCCATTCAAAAGCACATATCTATTTGTTTACTAACTCTGTCTTGAGCCAATACCCGGTTTCTTTAACAAAATCTGTCCCTTAAAATGATGATCGCCGTTGTGTTACGCCTTTGGACGCTGGATCTTCAATGCAATTCAGATTTAAGAAAATATCTATAGTTGTTATAATTCCAAATCCTGAAACCTGTTCTCTTCTATTCTTTCGAACCTCCTCTCCAATTATTTGCCCCTTCTCCCTTCGTTTCTATCTCCCTCTGTCCCCTTCCGTGCCTCCTACTTCTTTCTTCCCTTGCTCTCTTCCCCTGTCCCTTTACGTTCATGTATGTAAAACTACACGTATATTTTACTGTATTTTTTTTTCTCTCTTTCTTTCTATATCTTTCCTTCTTACTCTTAAAGAAATATTTCTATCTCTCTCTCTCTTATCTTATTTCTCCCCTTTCTCTATTTACCCCTTTCCTTCGTTATCCCCTGTTTCTTTTTCTCTCTCTGTATCTTTCTTTTCCTTTTTCCTATTTCTTTTTTCTCTCTTTCACTTTTTATCCTGCTTCTCTCCCTTCCTTCTTCTGCCCATTCCTATCTTTATTACCACTTTAACTACAATTCTCACTCTTCATTCTTCGTCGTTTTTCTCTTTCTTACCCTTTAATTACTCTTCTTCCTCTTCCTGGGTCCCTTTTTATCAATCTTCTTTTCTTCTTCATCCTTCTTTCTCCTCCCCCTTTACGCCATTTATCTCTTTTTCTTCTCCCCTCTCTCTTCTTCTTTCTGCCTTATACGCTCACCATTCTTTCATGTCCCTTTTCCTTGTTTCTTTTTCGTTCTCTCTCTATCTCTTCTTCCCTTTCTTTTCATATTTTCTTTCTCGTTTCACTTCCTCTTAATCTGCTTTCTTTCTCCTCTCAGTCTTTCTCTTTAGATATGTTTTGTTTCCTTCCCTTTACTTCCTACTTCCTTTCTTCTTATTTGGCTTTCTTCACAGCCTTCAATTTCTTCCTTCATTCTCGTCTCCCTTTCTCCTCTTTTCTTCAGGAAGTCACGCGTTTCTTAGAGCGGGTTGGCTGGATGAGTTAATAAGCTATAATTAGATTTTTATTTATTTATTTATCTCATTAGGAAGTCACGCGTTTCTTAGAGTGGGTTGGTTGGTTGACTTAATAAGCTATAACCATATTTTTATTTATTATTTATTTCATCAGAGGTGTGTGTTAGCCCAACATAGATGCCACACAACACACACTCACTCACTTGCACGAGGAAAACATATATATACACATATACAGACACATGCATACATACACACACGAGGATATATACACACATACACAGGGACACTTACACATCAACACTCACTCACACTAGGGCAACATATACACACACACAAGTGCGGATACATACAGATATAAGAGTACACATGCACACATGGACACACAAACAAGTAAGAGCACACACATGCTCACAGAAGCACAAGCACGCACAAGGACACACACATGGATACCTACAAACATATACATATACGTACACACATCCATAAAGACACACACTCATCCACATTGAGGGTAATCAGCAATATAAAATGCCAATTCGCAAAAATATTGAATTGGTCGTCGTGGTCGAGTGGCTTTCGTACTCGGCTTGTGATTTTGGGAATTCTTCGAATTTCCAGGTCGCGGGTTCGAGTCTCCACGGCGGCCGGTGTGTAACATGCCCGCGTTCCAACTGCTGGCCCAAACCCGATTTCATGGCGAGAAAAAGGCCTATCTCCATGAGGATGTTAAACGCGGGTGCCTTGGGGGGTTCCAGGCTGGTGTGGAAGTGGGGGGCTACTTCGGGATCAGCCTTCGGTCCGCCATTCACCTCCGCGTCTCGGAGGCGGATGGCGGCCCACGGGATTCCTGCAGATACTCCCTGCCGGTCACTGGCTTCGGAAAACGCCTGGTTACACATCTCTAAACCACTCGAACACAAACACTCACACGTACACTCACACTAACACTCACATATACACACACACACTCACATGTACACTCACACAAAACACTCATATATACACACCCATATATATATATACATTTAAATTTATACTCACATATGTATATTTTCATATATTTTTATTGTGAAAAAGTCGACGATTTCATTTAACGCGATTCAAAAAATAGTATTAAAGAATAAAACAACAAAAACAACAACAGCAATAATAATGGTAATAATGATAATAATAATAAAACGATGGAGTTGAGAGTTACATATACATTCAGTATTTACATACATACATACATATATGTATCTATCTATATATCTATCTATCTATTTATCTATCTATTTATTTATTTATCTATCTATCTATCTATCTATCTATCTATCTATCTATCTATCTATCTATCTATCTATCTATCTATCTATATATATATATATGTGTGTGTGAAAGTGTGTGTATGTATGTGTGTGTGTGTGTGTGTGTGTGTGTGTGTGTGTGTGTGTGAATGCATATATATGCATATCTAGAGAAAGAGAGAGAGAATGAGAGAGTTACATATACAGTACATTCGATATATATACATACATATGTATGCATGTATATATGTATGTATGTATGTATGTATGTATGTATAATATATATATATCTATATAATATATATATAGATATATATATGTATGTATGTATTTACCTCAAAGCTACCGCTCTCTACATATTTTTTACGAAAGATGGAAATAATACACAACCGCAGTGATATGGTCGCTAGAGGTAGTGCGTAGGTTCGAGTCCCGAACGGAGAGCAAATGCAGATAATTTAAACAGAAAAAGAAAATCGAAAGTACATTTCTTTACTTTTATTAATTTCGTTACATTTTTTCGTGTTGATTATATTCTTCTGAATGTGGGAATAGAGAAATTGCGTGACACATTAGAAAATCAAAGAAATTATGAAATATGATAAAGCGATTAAGCAAATCTGTGCATTGTATTTATTTACCGAACACACACACCCCGTCTCCTGTCTGTCTGTCTGTCTGTCTGTCTGTCTGTCTGTCTGTCTCTGTCTCTCTCTCTCTCTCTCTCTCTCTCTCTCTCTCTCTCTCTCTCTCTCTCTCTCTCTCTCTCTCTCTCTCTATATATATATTATATATATATATATATATATTATATATTATAATATATATATATATATATATATCTGTCTGTCTATCTATCTATCTATCTATCTATCTATCTATCTATCTGCCAGTGTTAAATTATATTTTTCAACGTAGGAGACTGTGCTCTTGTCACTCCAGAGATAAAGTTGCATGTGATCCTCAGATGTTAATAAGAAACAAACAAAGACAGTCTGTGTTTCATTGTGCCCGCTGCTATGACGATATCTGCGATGTGTCATTTCTTAATTTTGACAAATAAATATATAATGATGTGTAAGTCAATATGATAAATGAATATATAATGATGAAGTAAGTCAATTTAATGCGTTTATTTTCCCCTCAGATAACCACCGTAGAGAAAAATATATCACTTCATTAATGATTTAGAAATAACGTACAATCATATAAGTAGAAAACTTTACATATCATTTAATAGTGTTTATCATTACAGTTTACTATCATAGTGTTTACTATTATCGTTTAAAATTGTTTACACGTCGTTTAATAACCTTTAATTACATATATAGAACAGTTTTTATACAGTTTCAAGTGCAATAAACTGACCAAAAGAATACAATATTCTAAAAATTGTGTCTGTAAGTAAACACAATGTCTATTGGTGTGCTAATATCTTTGACATTTTTTCCTAACTTTATCTGATAAAT